TGCACCACCACTGTATGGCTTAAATGTTAAACATTTTTTAAGAAAATGAATGTGTATGGTATATAAACTGGAGAAAATGGATACCTAGGAACAGGCCCCTCTTTCTGCTGGTATGAATGTTTAAGATCATGTCTCAAATTTAAAGGATCCTTGTCTGCTCTTTTTTTCTTCAAGCTCTTAGATTTGACACTTCAGCTTGTGTGTGTGTGTGTGTGTGTGTGTGCGCGTGTGCTACCACAGGGTCTCATACATGTTACACAAGTGTTTCTACCACTGAGCTACAACACTAGTCCTCACCTATCTCCCTCCTTTACTGTTGTTTGAGACAGTGTCTCTCTACATAGCCCTAGTAGGTCTAGAACTTCCACATAGTCCAGGCTGGTCCTGACCTTACAGCAATTCTCCTGTTGGGATCCAGGATCACAAACACATTCGACCATGCCCAGCCTCTTAGTAATAAATATAACAGTAACATTACAGACTTCAGAGAGGATAATTTTCTAGTATATTAATTATAACTACAAAGACAAAAAGACTATTCATTAAGGGTGTAGGTGTAGCTCAGTGGTTGACTTCCACAGCATCTGCAAGGCCCTGGATTTAATCATTAGCACCACATTAAAAAAATTATAACAAAAATATGTCATATGGCTCCATTTACAGGAAATTCTAGACTAGGCAAATGATTAAAATTTACAGGGAAAGAAAAGCAAGCTAGCGGTTGCTAGAGGAAGGAGTATAGGCTAGAAAACAGCCTGAGGAAAACTGGGGTGATCAACAAGTGTCATGTGTCATCCAACGTAAAGCCTGTGTGTTTGCTGTATGCCCTAAAATGTTTCATCTATGGCTAGATATGTCATAGGCTCTAGGGAGAACCCAATACTATTATTGTGCTAAATGGACGTAGTATGAAAATGTTTCCTAACAGCTTGTTCCTATGCTCATAGATGAGAGCTTCACTCAGCACTCATCCGAGAAGCTTCCTTTTGCAGCAGATGACAATTAATATCAAGACCCTCAAATGGAAAACATGAAGAGCCAAGAAACTATAGTACTCAGTCCTCAGTGGGATATCCATGTCACACCCCCCTCCTCCCTGCAAGTCTTAGAATCTTCACAGAAGCGGGATCAGAAAGTCTCTAAGAGCCAGAGGTGATGGATAACTTAAAGGGGACACTTGTCCAGACACAGCGAGTCACATACATATGAACTACTCACAGTGGTTGCAACAACATGTGCAAGCTCGAGTTAGAAAAAACAAATCCTATCATGGAAAGGGGGAGGTGGAAATGAACTATCACCAGGAGCTAAGGAATTCCTGGCCGTTGATATCTGTTGGGAGAGTCTGTTTTCTTTAGTGATGTGACTCCTGGCAGGTCAACCACACTCTAGACCCCACTTTTAAGACTAGTTGGGCAACACAGACTGGACTCGGTTGAGGAAAAAAAGAAAGAAGTTGGGGAAGAAAAAGCTCCATGTTGAGTGTGTTTGGAGGGGAAGATGGAGGGGGTGGATCTGGAGGAGTTGGGGTAAGAGTAGGATATGATCAAAATAAACTATGATATTCTCAAAGAATTAACAAAAACATTACGTTTTCCCCTTAATTTTCAACTTCGAGTTTTCTGGGAAGTCAGAACACCAAGTGATACAAAAAAATGAAGTTTTTACTTTTTAGCAACTTGCCTAAAAATGTCCTCACGAGATACTCAAAATGTATTGACAATTTGACTAATAAAGGAATTTCTATTGGAAACAAAAATGTTTCATCTAGCTAGTGTAGTCAAAAGCAGTGGTGAAGGAACCCCACAGCAAATTCTCTAAATGCTCAGCATACACTTCTCCTAGCACAAGCACACGTCAGCCCGGCAGCTGCTCTCAAGCCCTTTGTAAGCCCTCACCTCTGTACAGGGTTCAAGCAGCATTCCCTCAAAGCACCAGGGGGATAAACATGTTTTTTACCTTAACTCACAAGGTCACGTGGTCTGGTATCTGAGCAATCTGGAGGCTGCTGTTTCAGGCCATCTTTGAGCGGTGACTAGTCCATATTAGGAAGCGATTTCATGTGGACCCTCACAAAGAAAGGGCAGCAGAAGCTGGGGATTGTGGTGAGTGCTTGGGAGGCAGGGACAGGAGGATCATGAGTATGAGATCATCTAGGCTACAGCAAGATCCAGACCAGCCTGAGCTACAAGAAAGACCTTATGTCAAAAAAACCTGAAAGTGAGGCCCTGCTTCATAATGATAACAAATGTATTGCTGGAGACTTTCTGTAACCAGAAAAACTGATCCTTGGCTGTCTAAAAAAGGTATTTGATGGTTATCTTCCCCACAAAGCATAGGAATGTGTCCACTGACACAAGCACATTTAGTGAATCTCTTCCAAGTTCAAATGTTAAATGTTTTTAGTGTCCCACAGTAACTCACTTTTCTACTTATGTAAAACGTAGCTTAATTCTCCCTGGATCGTGTCCACTTTAACCCTAGCCCTGTAGCCCGGACACCTGCACCAAACCTTGGCCATTCTGCCTTAGCTTTCCCAGGGCTTCGAAAGTTCTAAGATTCATTCTCCACTCACGGAGCCTATACTAAATGGGAGCTTACATTTTTCTGGCAAATGTGGCAAAATGTTAATGTCTTTTAGATCGGGGTGCAAATATTTGTTAATGTCCTGCAGTTTTCTCTGTGTTTAAGACAATTAGTAACTTTAAAAAAACAAAAACAAATAAAAGCCGGGCAGTGGTGGTGCACGCCTTTAATCCCAGCACTCAGGAGGCCGAGCCAGGTGAATCTCTGTGAGTTCGAGTTTAGCCTAATCCACAAAGTGAGATCCAGGACAGGGTCCAAAGCTACACAGAGAAACCCTGTCTCGGAAAAAACAAAAAACAAAAACAAAAACAAATAATGGGTTGGGTAGTTGTGGCGCACGCCTTTGATCCCAGCACTCGGGAGGCAGAGGTAGGAGGCTCTCTATGAGTTCGAGGCCAGCCTGGTCTACAGAGCGAGTTTCAGGACAGCCAAGGCTACACAGGGAAACCCTGTCTCGAAAAACCAAACCAAACCAACAAACAAATAACCAACCAACCAAAACCACAAATAATGGGTAAGGGAGATGCTGTAACAGGCAAGAACACCCGCTGTACAAACATGAGGCCCTGGGTTCAAATCTTCAAGGCTGGGTGGCAGAGACAGGTGGGTCTTGGGAGACTGCTGATTAGCCAGCTTAGCCAAAAAAACAGTAGGAATAAGTTGAAGACTGATAGAGGAAAACTAATGTCTTCTGCTGTCCTCCACATATACGTGCATGGGTGAAAACACAAACACACTCATGTGCGTGCACCACACACCCACACATACCACAAGAAAAAAAGGAAAAGAAAAAAAAAAAGAGTAACAAAATATATTTGCCTCTGTACAAAAAAGTACCTGTAAGGGCCTATAATGACAACCAGGAGCGCACACGAAGCTTCAACCACAGCCTCCTACACATTTTATAACAAGCTGGAAAGCCAGGACAAGGAAAGGCTGAGTGGAGAAGAAAACTCAGGGCTGGCAGGGCAGCAGGGCCATGTTCATCCTTCTTGTCCTTCAAGTCTCAGGTGTGGCCGGAGGAAGCCATGGAAAACAAGGCAAGACAGAGATCTGGGGAAGCCAGAACAAAAGGGAAGGGCTGGGTATCCGGAAGCAAAGAGGAGGAGATGGGAATAAAGTTCAATATGAATAGAGCAAAGGACCATCAGTCTCTCCGGGATAGACGTTTAGACATGAAGGACACCATAAAAAGTGCACAGCAGTAGGGTCTGATATGTTTAAAGATTCCTTTTTTTAGTAAACTATGCCATTTTAGGCTCTCAGAACGAAAAGAACCGTTTTCTTGGATGTAAGCAATTTGCCATCCTGATCTGGCATTGAAGAACACAGGATACCTAACATTGATTGGATGCTGGTTTTGATCATTTATAGGGTGCCTTCTTGGTGCCAGGCAGCCAAACATGTATTATCAACTCAATCTTTGCAACATTGCATAAAGTAGAAACTATTCTAATATTCTTACTACTTTCCAAACCAAGATGTGGGTTTTAAAAACCTTACTCAAGAACACACAACTAAAGGTAAAGCCAGGATCTAAAGTGAGGTGGTGGTCTGCTTATGACACCCAGTGTTTTAACTAAGACCCTTAAAAAAAAAAAAAAGAAACAAGAAAAAAGCTTAAACACTGCAAAGATCCCTGACTCTGGTACAGTTGATCTAGGTTTGAACTGGGACTCTAGTATATACAGCCTGAGTAAATCTCAGATTTCTTTAACACTCCCCTATCTTCCAGGCCAGGTGGCTGGCTGGCCTGGAGCTCACTATGTATGTAGACCAGGCTGTCCTTGAACACATAAAAATCTGCCTGTTTCTGCCTTCCCAGTGCTGGGAATAAAGGCCTGCACTACCATGCCCACCAGCTCAGATCCACATTATTCAAAATGCTTATTTTTAATGCTGTAGAAAGTCTCCGGTAACACCAATTTGTATCACATTGATATCTACCAGTTAAGCTACAAAAGATGTTATATCCATCTTGGGTCATTGTTCCTCCTGGCCTCTCAACCTTCAGACCTGAGACCATGTGACTCACAACTCCTACTCAAGTCCCAAGATCAATCACATCCTCCCATCAGATTTAAGTTTTTGATAATTCAAGCATCAAGTTCTAACTGGCTCGACTTGTTATTACGACTTTGTCCTCTAGTTCTAGTTTCAGCTTCATTGTCCTAAACATTTCCTGTCATGTGACCGGCAGAGCGTGTAATAGTACGAGGCAGGTACGATCACAGCCTCACATGGGAAAAAAATAGTTCAAGTGCCCAAGGCCATTTAACAGAATTAGAACAGAAATCCAGAAGCTGAAAAGCTATTATTTTTTTCCCTCATAAAAAGTAGTTTTTACTGGGCTTAGTGGTGCATAGGGAAGCAGAGGCAGAGGCAAGCAGATCTCTCGAGTTTGAGACCTGACTCGTCCCCGCCCAAAAAAACCAAAAAAGCAGTTTTCAAGCTGTGTTGTCAAAAATCCATGGAGACTGGAAAGAGGCGGCTCACCTAACTTTTTCAGATGGCCATGACATGCAGACTGTTACATCCCTTGGATGCCATAGCCTTAGATTTGCTTATTTGTTTGGCTGAGGTTCCTCTCCCTGTAACTTGGAGACTATAACCTCAGTCAGTCACACACAGTAAGAGCAGTCTCTGGAGACGGTATTTTTCTTCCAGTCCACCCCAATGTTTCTAGTCCCAAATCCACCAGAGAATAACGGGAAGTTATGATGGTCATTTAAAAATGTTATCATTACATCATTATCATTATCCAACTAGGAAGACTGTAGCATGCACAAAACACTGAGTATCTCAGATCATTTTGATTTTAATCATTAGAATTTAATCAAATTAAATTTTGGTAAAATCCATTATTCATATTTACTGGAAGTGTTCTAATCTACACAGTATTCTAAAAGTATTTTTAAAAATATTCCAAAAACCTAAGCTATCAAAGGCTTCTGAAATTTCCTTCTCTGCTCAATTTTAGCTCTTCCATGTGACAATGATTTCTAGTAGCTTATTACATACTGGGCATTTCATGTTACATGCGAAGACAAAATGACTACAGTCCTTTCTCTGGCCCACATACTCATGTAGTTCTACAATGCCATCACCCAGAGCTGCTGAAGACAGACCATTCAGATTCATTGCTCAACTTGTTACTTGCAGTATTCAGAGCTCACCAGGCTCCCCTTTTAAGCCAAATTAAGCACATACAATGGATGTACTGATACAGGTCTGTGTATGGTCCATAGACTCCTCACAATAGTTTACAGACTAAGAAATTTTAAATTTAAAAGTATGTCCAGTTGCTGCTGGTTTAGAGAACTCAATGGTATAAATTCTTTGTATGTTGATACTACTAGTTAAAAAGTTGGTTAAAACAAAAATTTGTTTCTATTTTGCTAATGTTTAAATCTTAAGACGTGGAATCTTAGCCAAGTCCTTGGGGCATAGGCATTCTTAACTAACGAAGAGGCAATAGTAGCCTCCAAAAAGGCTGTCTTGGGAAGAGCTTTAGGATAAACAGTGAGGGAGTGTCTCACTGCAAGTTAATGACTGACTAGTCTTCAAGTTAGCAGTCCACACCGTTTATTCAGCAATGTACCAGGAGAGATCCTCCACCATGATGGGCATAGGCAGGCACAACAGTGGCTCACTAGAATACAATCTTTATAGAGTCAGACAAAAACCAGATTTCACAACATATGGAAAGCAAGATTTGGTGCATATCGACAGCTATTCATTCTTCCATACACCCCCCCTTAAAAGATGACAGTTTTATCAGCAGAGGCAATGTGCCATATCAGGGCAAGGCCAATCTTCTCCTTTGCCAAGTTTTTCCTCAGACTAGTGTCAACCAGTACCTGCTGAGATTTAAAAAAAAAAAAAAATCTGCTGAGACATTTCAGAAAGATTTTATTTCCAAATTAAGACTTTTAAGAAAGAAAGCCACGTGTCCCCTACTGTCTGGCACAAGAAAGCATAACTGAATTCATTTCAAGAACAACTATGAAAACAAAGGCAACCCCCCTAAGAACCCCAGGGGAGGAAAGAGAAGAACCAGGTCCTTGATGACATTTTCGCTGCTACACAAGCACTGGATCACCTAGAATCTTAAGTGGGATTTAAAATTGTTCAGTGGCTTCTCAGATGTTCCCAGGAGTTTTTTCTAGTTGCTTAACTCCAAATCTGATTCCATGATTTCCATGAACAGGAGAACCCCAGAATGTGGCCAATGCTCAGCAACACATTCTTATGTCTAAGACAAAGCATCCTCTAGACTATTCTTAAATTATATGGAGTCAAGCTTTACCATCTGTTCTGAATTTCACAGCACAGGTTATTTTTCCATTTCCATAGGAGGACGTTAAATTCAGTCACCACAAGACAGAGCAGTCTTTGGTTATGTAGAGACAAGTGAGTGTAAACTGGCGGCATTCTTAACCCTTTTTTGTAACCTCTGTAGGTATTGACAAATAGAATGTGAAAGGACCAGCTATCAACACTGTAACACTTATGCTGATGATAGAAGTGTCAATATATATGTGAAAAAATTTTATATACATACACATCTCTCTCACTACTGATCAATGTATAAGAGGAGAAATCTAGAACAATGTAGTGTATTAAAATTTACTAGAATAATCTAGAATCCAGCTACAAGAATGTGTTCTCATAAAAGTTGCTGTTAGAAAAAGTTAATGGGGCATCTGGCATGGGGCCTCCCCTCCAGCCCACATTATCTCGTCAATACTTAGGAGGGGCAATCTAGTTCTAAAGCATTTGTCTGGACTACAGGTTAGTTTGGTTCTAGGTAAACAGTCTGCAATACTGACTAAATTTATGCTAAAAACAAAAAACAAAATGCATAGATCGCAGAAGCAGACCCAACAAGTCAAGCAGTAGACCAAGTAGTGACAGACTGAGTCGGACTTAGAGGGCCTTGGGTTAAACTCAGCGGAAGAGCACTTGCCTAGCATGCATAAGGGCACCCAGATTCAATCCCCAGCACCTTAAAAAAAATTAAGAGAGAAAGAAAACAGAAACAAGTTACTATTCCTCTCCCCTAGGCTATGAACACAAAGCCCTGGAAGAGTTCATGATTCTGTTACAGAAGTCACTTGCTTTGGCCAAGTTTCTTGTTTAAGGTTTTGTCTGTTCTGGTCAAGATTAACTGTAATGCAGGATTAAAACCAGCTACTCTGGAGTCGTGTATCTTTTTTCTAACCAGTGGCGGACCCAGAAGAAATGGGTGGCAAGCTTTCTCAAAGGTCCACCTGGTGAGATTTTGAGGTGCCCACTCAAGTGGGAAAGACCAAGGCAGAACAAGGCTTCTATTAGCAGGATTGTCAGGATAACATTCAGGGCAATAATCAGCTCGGTTAATACGGTCTAAGAACACTTGGTAACATTCATTCTCAACAAGTTCAGTTTGGTATAACCAATGCCCTAGTTCTAAACTAGGGAACCACTGCTGCCCACAGTCAGGGCAGTGGGAGTTATCGGAGAACATCTGGGCTTAGAAAGACAGCACAAGCAGTGTAACAGCAAAAGGCAACAATGACACAGAGAAAGGCAGTAAGCGGCGGTGACAATTGGTCCTGGTACAGGTTTCCTTAGCAACTTCTCAGGTCACAGCACTGGAGTGTTAAATCTGGCTTGCACCTCAGTGCAGTTCTTCAAGATCTTGTATTCTATTTTTCACTTAATTGCAACTCAGTCTCTGTACTCACGGACCAGTCCAGTCTAGAATACTATCAGTCACTTACTAGAAGCACAGATCACAGAATAGCTCCTTCAAATCCCAGCGTCTTAAGGAAAGCCAGACCTCTAGTCTGAACTGTTCAGCAGCAGCAGCAGTATCAGCGGGTGATGGTGTCCCACAAGGGTACTCTGCACTGCTGGTAAGGTTATTATGCCTGGTGAAACAGGCGCTGCCGGACGCAGTGTGTCTTCTGTTGATGCTGGCACTCTTGCCCGGTGGCTCTTTACAGTGATGTAGTAGGGTCAGGAAAACCTGGTGGGGTCCTTGCCAGTAGATCCAATGAAGTCAGTCTTGAAAGGACCTTTATCTGGACCCAGTCACAGAGAAGGAGCTGGCGTTGAGCTTGCAGGATGGTCTGGGAATGCGTCACATACCTGCAAATGATAAACTCATATGGGCTTTGCAGTTGCTCACAATATTAGAAACATGCATTTGAGAATTATTTGCATCAGTCAAGGCAGATGACACAGTCTCATGGGTTTCCCCATAACTTAATTAGGTCAAACCCACCCAACCTATTTGGGAGTGACTCTTCTGGGCACTGGGATGGGTTCTGAATCACTCAGGATTTATATGAGGATTGGTGTGGATTTTCTTTCTTTCCCTAACATATAGGTACCAGTAACTATGACAGCCTTTCCAACATAGGCTTTAATCTAACCATGAAAAATCCTAATAGACGCGAGCTACTCTCATGACCCTGAATGTAACACACACACGGTAGGGAGCTGGGACACACGGATCAAGAGGGCTGTAGAGGAAGCATCAGTTTATCAAATTACAGTATGTGCCCTGCCACCCTCCAGTAGTTTTTATAAATCCCCGAGGCTCAATCATGTGAGAACAGGGACACTGAAACAATGTAACAGGGGTCCAAGCCCCTGATGACAAGGTAAAAGCAGGGCCACACTCTGATAGGAGACCAGACTCAGCACACCTGCAGTAATGTGCTTTTTGAGGTCAGGTAACTGGGTGCCAGGCTACCAACTCAGGTCCTCAGTTTCCGGAAATATTTCTAAGGAAGTCTTTGGGAGTGGAACCAGGAATAGTAGATTTCCTTGTCCTGTTGACAATGGCTCTCATAACTGTTCCCGTTCTGTCACTAAAGCATAGACAGCCCGAGAGCCGGGACTTTTGTGCCTCACTCCTTATTACAAGAATTTTATTCCCTATCACAAGTATCTCTTTAAAATACTTTTACATTTTATCTGTTTTGTGTATGTGTGTGGGCACGGACATGCCACAGCAGACACATGGAGGTCAGAGGCCTAGGATGTGAATCCCAAGTAGGTCGTCATCAGGCTGGATGACAAGTGCCTCTACCCCGAGCCATCTTGCCAGTCTTAAAGAAGTAAGAGAAAATAAAGGACAACTTGAATCCCTATACTAATTCTAGGAGTGTAAATTAATATAACCACTTTGGAAATTAATTTGTCAGTACCCAATAAGCTAAAGAAATCCATTTTCTGTAACCTCACATACTCTTCAGGAATATACTCAAGAGAATTCCTCATAGATGCTTTCAAATGCGTAAGTAAAACCTCCATGGTAGCCCAGTGTTAACAGTAAACTAAAGGCTACATGTCCACAAATAAGATGGATGAATAAACTGAGATACTGCCACAGAATATAACATACAGACACAGATGAAATCCCAACTGCTGAGTTAAAAAAATCAAAGTACAAGAAAAAAAATACATATGAATACACACATTCTTATATAAATTTTCCACTTACAGAGTTTCAAAAGCATAAAAATGGTTTGTCCAGGAGTACATGCAATACAGCTAAACGGGGAGCTTAGCAGCACCCTAACTTCTCTTTGGTAGGAGAGGGGAGTGAATGGGATCTGAGGAAGCTCTATCACCCCACACAGTGGGAGCTGAATCCAGGGCTCACATGTGCACTTGACCCCTGAGCCCATTTTTCCTCCTTCTTGTAACTAGGTGGAGAACAAAGATGCTCTCTCTATCATAAATCCTAATGGCTTATAGCATCTCTATTCATTATTGTATAACTTCAAGTATCAGAAACAGCAGTAAGAGAAGAAACAGGCAAAGCCAGCCTTCCGCACCAAGGACAAGAGGAAGTGACCCTGCCCAGAGGCTAACAGGTGTGGAACACTGGGATACAGAGGAACCTACACTGTGGCATGTGCCCAGATCCCCGTACTCAAAGGCAAGAGGCAGGAGGATCACAAGTGTCAGGACAGCCTGGATGCCCCAGTGAATCCCTGCCTCAAAAAACAAAGAGGCCCAGAGAGTAGGTATTGCTTTTCCTACAAATTCTAAGCACTATGTCTTCATAGAAATACGACTGAAAAAACAAACAACCAAAAATCAAAAACTGCCTTATGTGAGGCACAATGTCAATTAAGACATATACAGAGAAAATAATCTTTCACACTTCCCGAGTCTAGACTGGAATCAGTATTACAGCTGAAAGCTTACTGAACTTTACACAAGCTTTTTTAAGAAAAGTCACCCACAGAGATCACAGGACATTTAGTAACATGTATAGACAAAGCCAGAAAACAAACTGATCACCAACACAGTGGGCCAGCTGGGCATGGATGGTAGCACACCCCTTTAATCCCAGCACTCAGGAGGCAGAGGCAGGCTGTTCACTGAGTTTGAGGCCAGCCTGATCTACAAGGTAAGTTCCAGGACAGTCAGGGAAACAAAAAGCAAAAAACAATAAAAAACAAAACAAAAACAGTGGGTCAAAACCAAAGCTTAAAAAGTTTCCATGTAACCCAGATACTGCACAAAACACATATCTGCTTTTTTTGTTTGAGAACATGAGCACTTAGCAGGCAGAAGCTCTAGGACTGTAAGTTCCAGCCAGCCAGGGGTAAATAGAAATGTTTTCCCTAACAACAGAAAAACTGAATTCTATTTAAATCCACTGAAACGCGTACAACAATTAACAGCAACAGATTTACATGAATTAAAGAATTTAGCCTGATCCTGTTTCATTCTCCTTAATAAGTGTGAAGTATAAAACCCCAAATCTGTTTAAGATATGTATTTTTACATTTTGTGTGTATGGGTGTTTCCTTTCATGTATGTATGTGTATGATATGCACTCCTGGTGCCTACAGAGGCCAGAAAAGGGTATCCGATCCCATGGAACTGTTCACAGACATTTGTGAACTGCCACAGAGGTGCTGGGACTCAAACCCGGGTCCTCTAGAAGAGCAGCCAGTGTTCTTAACCACTAAGTCATCTCTCCAGCCCCACACCCCCACTGTTTTGCTTTTAGACAAGGTCTCATGTAGCCCAGGCTGGCCTTCATGTAATCCCAGGTGGGATTACAGGTATACCCACCACTTCTGGTTTCTGTGCACTAGGGACAGAAACCGTAGCACGCCAGGTGAGCACTCTACCAACTGAGCTACATTCCTAACCAAACCTGCCTTACGACAATGTCTGCTTGCCTATTTGCTTTTGAGACAGGGTCTCACTGCATAGCCTGACTGACCTAGAGTTCCCCATGTAGACCAGGCTGGCCTCACATTAACAAGATTCAAGGTGTATGCCATGATGTCCCAGCCCAAATCTGCCATTGATACTATTGATCTATATTATGAATAAAAATTTAAAAAAATCTTTGGGGGGCTGGAGAGATTATAATTGTAAGTATTTTAAGTTATTTACTAAGGTTAGTAAATAACTGTAATTGTCTACCTTTTGTATAACAGTTTCACCAAGTTTTTTTTTTTTTTTTTTTGAGACAGGATTTCTCTGTATAGTCCTGGCTGT